AGGGAAGTCTCTTTTTCATGTGGTAAATAGTGAATGTATAACCTGAAGAAGTTTGGGTTATGAACTTATGATGATGCTCGGAGAGGACGAGCATTTATGTCTCATTGCTAAAGATTGTGTGTGTATAAAGATAGCATATTCTTCGCTATCAACTATGCATCCATGATGCCAATAAAACGGTGTTCTCTACAGGTAACTGATGCTCTTGCACGCGCTGGACTGGAGTCTTCCAATCTGATTGTTGGCATTGATTTCACGAAGAGCAATGAATGGACTGGTAATATCAATTAGTCTAACCGGAATCTAGTCCTGTTGTGTGTGGTTTAGATACAGTGTTCTGAATGCTCACTGAATTTTAGGTAAGAGGTCATTCGGCGGGCGAAGCTTGCATGACATTGGACGTGGTCTTAATCCCTATGAGCAAGCGATTTCCATCATTGGGAAAACCTTGGCAGCCTTTGATGATGATAACTTAATCCCGTGTTTTGGGTTTGGTGACGGTATATACATCTCTCTTTCTCTGCTCTCTGAGACTGTTTTAATGCTTTGTATGATATTTCTCTGATCATCTCTTTCCTTTGATTATGCAGCAACAACTCACGATCAGGATGTATTCAGTTTCTATCCAGATGATAGGTTTTGCAATGGTTTTGAGGATGTTTTATCTCAGTATAGGGAAATTGCACCCCAACTAAGACTTGCAGGTCAGATTTCCTACTAACATACTGGCTTTGATAGTGAAGCGTACTGTTTTTCGTTAGATGATCTTAGAGCTCGTGGCTTTCAGGGCCAACATCTTTTGCACCGGTGATTGAAATGGCTATGACTATTGTGGAGCAGAGTGGAGGACAGTATCACGTTTTAGTGATCATTGCTGATGGGCAGGTATTTTCTTGCTTAGGACCCCCCCCCCCCAACTTTTTGTATATCACGCCTAACCCCGATTAATATTGATTGCTTTTTGGGGACAGGTAACCCGTAGTGTTGATACTGGGCGTGGTCATTTGAGTCCCCAGGAGCAAAAAACAGTTGATGCAATTGTAGAAGCGAGGTATGATTTTTTTCCCCTTTCCAATGTATGTGGCTATGTGCTTATTTTAGTAGCTTGGTTCTCATTTATATTGACTTGCTGGTGTCTTGTGTCTGCAGCAAGTTCCCTCTGTCTATTATTTTGGTTGGGGTTGGGGATGGGCCTTGGGACATGATGAAGGAGTTTGATGATAATATCCCATCCAGAGAATTTGATAATTTTCAGGTTAGTTATGATTGGTTAATTTTATTTTATGAGCCGGTGGGGCTATACTTTCTTCCTTCAAATGCTTCCATGGGCTATGTTTGGCTGATCATCTTTGGCCTTCAAAACTCCAGTTTGTCAATTTTACCGAGATAATGGCAAAATCCGTACCTCAAGCTCGAAAAGAAACAGAATTTGCACTTTCGGCATTGATGGAAATTCCTTCACAATACAAAGCCACCATGGAGCTTGGTCTGTTAGGGTATGCATATATGCTCTCTCTCGCCTCGCAAATTATATCATACATCCAGATTAATTTACATCCATGACTTTTGTGTAATTTTTTGGGCAATATGTTCATTAGGGTTCTGAATAATACTCATTTTATTTAGTCTTATCATGTCGTGTTTATTTTATTCTGCTCATTTTTTTTTGTAAAGAATGCTCATTTAGCTGCTTAGAATGCTTGCTTTTTTATAGAACAATACTCAGTTTGAGATCTTAGATGTACCACCATGCTCATTGTATATCCGGATGTAAATACAATATACCTACTCTTCTCCTCCCCCACTTTGCCATTGCACACACATGCAGATACTCTAAAGCACAAATGTTTCACACTTTGCTTGTTGTTTCACCATCGTCATCAGGGGTAATAAAGGTAAATCTCCCAGAAGGGTTTCCCTCCCCCCTCCCATCTATGGTGGGAGTGGTTCGAAGCCCGCAGGAGGGAAAAGTTTTCAGCACACACCAAGTTCCTACTACGACTACAAGGACCCCGTGGGCACACCTTCGGCCCCTCAGCACACAGCACCAAGCTCGTACTATGATCCCAGGGGTAGTCCTGTTGTCCAGGGTCCATCTGCACCTGTCACGAATTACGATAATCAGGTTGGTATCGTGGCACGCATTTCTTGCTCTGTTGTTATGTGGGTACTGGTCGTTTATGCATATCAAAACACATTACTTTGAAATACAGGTTTGCCCGATTTGCCTCACCAACCCGAAGGATATGGCATTTGGTTGTGGACATCAGGTTAGTTTTTCATCTCCTCGGTTTGTCTTTATGGGTGGGGTGGGTGGGAGGGGGAAGTGAGTTGTTCTGAGTGGTTTGTGTCATTCTGTTGTTGGTGCAGACATGTTGTGAATGTGGGAGAGCGTTGGAAACATGCCCGATATGTCGCAGCGCAATTCAAACTAGGATAAAACTGTATTAAGTGTGGTTGGTGTAAATACATCTCCATTTCTTCTTCAACTATCCGTATGTTCTTTGTTGTAAAAAAAACCAACAAAATTATTCTTGTATTTTGAAGAGTCTCTTGGCTTTTAGAATACGGAATATTTGCCCATTGATTGATTGAGACCATTAGTTTGATTGATGATGATGCCTTTGTCTCAATATTAAGTGAGAGGAGGATTGTTCTTGTTCTTCTGATGATAAAAAAAATAAGTACATGGATGAGATTTATATATCTTAAAAAAATAAGTGAAATTTGATACTTTCTAGACATGGAGGCATTATTTGTTTGCCAAAGAAACACATGGATGGATGGATGAGGAGATATTACAATTGATCTCAAGTATGTATATTTATTATTCACATGGTCAAATTTTAATTATGTATATTGTTTATTTTCGTTACCCATTTAATAAAATAATATTGTTGTTACTACTTTTTTTTATAAATCTTTTGATATAATTGTGAAATTTACACTAAAATAGTACTAAAACATGTTTTTTCTCAATGTATTACTTAATTATTTTTATTTCTTAAATATTACTTGAATGATCTCTAGTCAGCGGTGATAGACATTTAATTTGTAGAATCTTTGGTGGTGGACATTTACTTAAATAATGATCAGTAGGCATTGAATAATGGTATTACATTGACAAATAAAATTATATTGTACTACATAGGAAAAATCATTATATTTTAGTATGATTTAGATAAATATTTTTTGAAATGCTTCATGCGGGAGGGGATAAATGATTTTGGAAAGGGGTGGTTAGGCAGCGACGACATAAGGCGGCGGCTGACGGGTTGCATTGAATGAATGCCCAACGAACACCAATTTCACTCATATATATATATATATATATATATATATATATATATATATATATATATATATATATATATATAGACACACACTCATACATACATGACTATATATACATGTATGCAGGATGATCTATCATCCATCTCATCCGATTATCCGAATATGTATTGAATCAGATCCGCAATAATGTCTTCCACCTCTCAATTCAGGCACTCCTACACCAGGCTTAAAGATGATGGTGATGATCATCATCGGAATAATAATAATAATACGGCGGTGGCGGCGGCATTTCGCAAGCTGAGAAGCTTATATGCCGGTAGACCGAGATTGAGGAGGATTATTAAGATTCCCAGGTTGGCAGCGGCGGCGGCGAGGAAGAGATTGAAGGAAAGTAAGTCCCATTTCGGGGATCTGTTTGCCGGCAATTACTTGTTCTTCCAAGTCAATCCAACTCCCTTCGAACCTTGTATTCCTCCTCCTCATCGTCTTCTTCATCCTATGATTACCAATTGCTGATCTCTTCCTTTTTTGTAAATTACAGACTCACATTACTTTTATATTCTTAATAGTTACCGAGTGTTTAAGGAATACTCCGTATTTTTTTAAGTTTTAAAGGAAGTCTAAGTTTCCATGTATGAAGTCTTTTTTAGGAATGACTATAGATTTCATGTTAATGCGTACATTCATCATCGACGTCTTAAAAAAAATTCCACGTAGACGTCATACGTGTCAAACTCTGGTGATCCGAATTTGGAATATTATATTAAAAGATTTATTACATTATCACTTCACTAAAAACAAGATGCATTCAAATAATAAAAAATATTTAAAATTAAAATTCACATACAAATGTGTGACTTGTATTATTCATGGTAACTTTTGGCAAGCAATTAGAGCAAAAGCAATGAAGGTTAGATGACATGCATGCCACATCACATGCCAACACTAGTTTTGACTTGCAAAACATTTAGTGAAAGGTCATTCCACCACGGATATCAAGCCATGTACGACTGCGTGTAACGTTTTATTTCATACTTATTATTAAGAGTGAGCAATTTAATCGAATCGATCGATTAACCAATCCAATTTAACGGAATCGACCGCAATTTTGAATTCGATTTCAGTTTTAATATTTAAAATATTCAGTTAATTTGGGTTATCGGTTTTGGTTTTGTTTCTGGGCCTTGTTAACCGAAACCGCCCAATAGTCGAGCCCATAATATGTTTTACAGCCCAGTCCATTAGAGTGGGCTGGTCACTAGTCATTACCTCCGTCATTAGTCTCCCAAGTAGTCCCAACCCAAATGTTTTGCAGAGTAAGTTACAACCTCAAGACCTCGGCTCCATCGCCTCCGACCTGGACTCCTTAGATCGTTCGCCGCCCGTCTCCTTCCTCGACGCCATCGTCGCCGGCACCTTTTCCGTCGGTTGTAAACTCCTGTGCCGATTGCATGGTTTTCGATTTTGTGTGGGTGTATGTGTCCGCCAATCATCCACCATCTCGATTCTGATTCTCGCTTGACCATTTTGCTATTTTTGCCTCAAGGATTTCACCAGCATAAGGTATGTATCTCAGAATATGTACTCCGTGTTCTAACTGTTTATCTTCTTCTCGTTAGGATAAGATAATATGCTTCGATTCTTGCAGCATCCAGTAGGTAGAGTAGGTTTTAGGATGAAGCTTTTGGTTTTTTCAAAACGACCAAACCCGATCCGTTTTCCTCGGTTCGGTTTGTTCGGTTTCGGTTGTTATTGTGAGTAATTTCTATTTTCTGTTGCTTCGGTTTTGGGCCGAAACTGACCAAACTGAACCTATGCTCTCCCCTACTAGTTGCTATTGCCCCGTGCTCTTATGAACTTATGGTGAGCTTCGTAACCGGCTTGACCTGTGCTTTGTCTCAATGTTAAATCCCTAGAAATATAATTTGGTGTTGTGCTATGAATGTTACAAATTAAAGAGGCAAACACGTAGCCGAGAGTTACTGAATTTATAACCTCTACTTCTTCAAGTTTGCCCGTACCAAAAAGATGTATATACGTATTCCATATTAATTGGTTCATTGTTATACTGTTTAAGAGTGGGTATCTTGCATCATATTTGTTTATATTTTCCCTTTTAGATTCTTAGTGTTTTTGTGTAGTAGTTTAATATGTACACCAACATCTTAAATTGAAAATAAGTCATATTAACTGCTAGAAAAAAATACTTGATTATAATGGAAGTGTATTCAATGCATCTTTTTATGTACATTTTCACTTCTTTAAAATTTGAAAGTGAAATACTTCATTGTTATATTTACTCAAAGCTTGGTAGGTGGATTCGAGATAGAAGTAAAATTACTTAGATATACAAAAGTAAGGGAAATTACTATTTTTTTAATATTCATTTTAGATGTCTAATGTAACAACTACTGTAACATTCTAATAAAACTAAATAACTACAAAAACAATAGTGTTATACACTCTCAAGTGATGTTTCACACATTCACTTATGTAGGTCATCTTTTGTTTGCAGTAATTCTGATATAGTTTTTCATCTCGAAAAAAAGCAATCACGCAGGGTCACAGTGAGAACTGCAGGCTTGAGAAAAAGATAGATATGAAAAAAATCTTTATGTCATAGAGACATGACAAAAATAAACTGATGGACTCAAAATTTGAAGCCATATTTGTTCATATTTGGTTTGACTATTAAAATGTTGGAACTGTTTGTGTTTGTGTGTGTGTGTGTATATATGTATGTATGTATGTGTGTGTGTGTGTGTATATATATATATATACATATATATATATATATATACACACACATAATCCTTCATTTTTGAACACAAGTAATGAAACACTGACTGATAAAAGGATTATTATTTTGGGATAGATTTCAAAAATATCTAAATGTTTCATGGGAGTAATTTATCACCTACCATTTATTCAATAAAATAAAACTATTGACAATGCCTAACTGACCTTTGTGTAAACATATTATTTTCTTACTCAAAAGTAAAGGAGATACAGAGTACACTTTATAAAAATTTTGATAAGAAATACTACCTCCGTCCCACAAAAAAGTTTCCATTTTGACCATAAATTGGTCAAATTGTACCCTAAATTAAATATAATCTAAATAAAGAAATGCTAAAAAAATTTGAGATATCAAAACTAGATCCTAAGATGAATCCAATTATATAAAATTTATTCCATAATTCAATATATCTTTCTCACAATTTATAGTCAAAGCGTATAAATATTTGACTAAATACTATTCAAAATGAGAACTTTTTTGTGGGACGGAGGGAGTAATATATTATGAGCTTTTTTTAATAAATACTCCGTATGTAGTTCTCTATTCGCGTTAAGTCGAATAATTTCTATCAGGACACAATTAACCTTTTATACTTTAAGTTTATCATTTAAAGAGAACAATTTTTAATAAAATAGTTTTATTCATGTGAATTCTTCATGTTTAATACTCCCTCCGTCCGAATTTAAGTCATCTGTTTCGGTTTACGTTGTTTGACTAAATCATTTTCAATGTAATTTATTGGAGAATTGGAGCGAAATTAGTAAATAAACTTTACATATTAAAAGACTAGGTCAAAAGCTCTACGAAACAAGATGAGACGTGACTAATTATTTTATCAAATGAATAACCAAAATAGGGAAAGAAAATGAACAAAATTTGACCTTGTGAATAGTAAACAGATAACTTAATTTGGAGTGGAGGGAGTAGCATTAAACATAGAATAATGTATACATTTGTTTTTAGTAAATAATAAATATTAATAGAAATTATATTTTAGGCTTTTTTAATGGTTAAAGTATAAAATTTGCACTTTATCTTTTATTATATATTTATCGAATTATTATTTTGATTGTTCATTTGGGTTGGCCCTGCGGGTTTGGACATAAAACCTAAGCCTAGCTCTCAAGTTTGCGGACTTCTTTTTCTAAAGTCCGACTCTGACTAGTACCCTAAAATATCAAGGCCAAAGTTACTATTTTGCGGACTGGATTTTGCAGGCTAGTCGAATACCCACTGCACACTTGTATAGTTTTATACTCTATCTGTTCCTAAAAGATTGCCACAATTTGTCTTTTTTTGTCAAACTGTGACATCTTTTGACCGTGAATTATAGAAAAAAGTACATTTAGTTATAACGTAAATTGAGTAAAATAGCGCTTATTTTAAAATATAGTTTTAAAATATAAAATTCTTATTATAATTAATTATTTTAAAATATATTTCATTCGTGGTCAAAAAATGTTAGATTTTGACCAAAGAAATTAAAAATCAAACTATAATAATCTTTTAGGGATGAAGGGAGTATCTTATTGTACAAAAAATGACCTACCCTTGTTTCTCCGTGGCACATCTCCTATCATCCTCATTGCGCGAAGAAGACATACGCCACCACAAATCCACTCAATCTCTTCGGACGGAGAAGGAGCGGAGGTACACAACTTTTAAATTGAACTTGTCTTTTCGGATTTCAAAGGTAAGGGGGCTACGGCGGGAGGTTGTGAGTGGGCTGGTGCATCGGTGGTTGCTAGAGGGTTGTTTGGGTTTGGGTGTGGGTCTGGGTTGCTGCAGGGGGGAGGGGTTAGGCAATTTTTGTTGTTGTTTTTTCAGGGAGATGATGCTATTTTCTTGTGTTCTTTTTTTTCCTTTGTTATTTTGTATGTATATTTGCTGTGCATTTGCTGCAGTTTTCTCTTTGCTATATTTTGAAGTTGTTGTTTGATAGCTATTCTTCCTTCTCATAGATGGAGGATGGAAAGATGGATGATTTTATCTACTCTAACCAAATTTCAACCATTTTTTCTATTCTCGTATTAATGCAGTTGTTTGTGCTCACAAAGTTGAAGAAATAGATTGAGATTGGAAGAATTGGATGATAAAAACCTTTCTTACTTTCTATATAGTCTAAAGTTTTTGACAATCTAATGTCTCTTAGTTAGTGTGTGGGAACTAGTATTTCATTTCAATCCATGCATTTCAATTCCAAAATTTGAATTCTTGAATTGCAAATGATAAGGGAGGTATATGAATTTCAATTTGAGCTTTGTTTTGAATTGAGGGAATTTGACTCAAATCCAAATTTTTTAAGTTTCCCAAACATGGAATTTGAGCCAAATCTGGATTTGAAGTCCAAATCCAAGTTCCCAAACATACCATTAAAGAAATACGGAGTTGTGGAGGATGTTTGTTGCTGAAATGCTCATTGAAGCAGGAATTTAGTACAATATTTACTTGGTTCATTTTGAGTGGTAAAAAAATGCCACTCTTGTTCCTTTTGTGTATTCAATGCCACTATACTTTTGAAGAGCAAGAAATGTACACTTGTATTAACCGGTGAAGAAATGAAAAAAGTATTTTTTATCCGGTTAACCCCAATTAATATATCCTTCCTCCATTCAACCCTTCTTATTTTACAATCAATACAAAAACCATTCTTGTTTCTCTTCACCAGTTTTCATTTCACTCCTAAGGAATCCTAAAGTAGCAGTTTTTGTTTTATCTTTGCTTTCATTTCTGTGTTTCAAAACAGAGTCGCCTGAATAGTCTTAGGTTTGAATAGTCACCTCAAATTTAGCCTCTATCCCGTGGAGGTTAACAGTATTCAATTGCATCATTATTATTATTTTCTTAAGATGATTAATAATGGTTATCCATTTGTTATCCCTCTCCTTTGTTATCGCTCTTTCCTTTACATGTTTTTTTGTGTTTCCTTTGTTTGAGACGAGGTCTCTTGGAAACAATCTCTGTACTTTCACGTAGGTGCGAGGTGCGCGTACACGCACCCTCCCCGATAAATCTTCATTGCTGTATAAATGTGATTTATTTTTCCTTTGAAAACAAACCTCAACTGGCAATCCCTTTAGATTAGTCTTGATCTGCTGTCAAGATGTAGTGGTGAATATGTGTTCTTATTTTTTAATGTGCTTTAATACTCTGTACAGTAGACTTGTAAAAACAAGAGTTCAATAGGACATGTAAGTAATGAACAACGGGATGCATGATTGGGGAGTTACTATTAAAATTTACATTATCAACAACTTAATATGATGTTGGGTTTAGGTGCTCCTACAGTTCCTTCCATTTCCAAGATGCTGCTATTTCTTCATTTAAAGTATCTAGTATAGTTTTTGCTTTCATCATACTAGTTATTTCATTGCAATTGCATTGTGTCCCTTGATGCATATTGTTGTTTACTCACCTTCTGATTCATTATTGCATCATACTTTCTTTCTCCATCAGTTAGGATGATTAAGGAGGATATGGAGGTAAAAGATTCTGCTATTGGTGATGGGAAAGAGAAAAATGGTAGTGTGAGAAATCGGAAAAATAAAAGGAAGCTAATGTTAATGGAAGAAGCTGCAAAGGCTGGAAAGCGTGGAATTTGTTACTTGAGTCGGGTACCTCCACACATGGATCCTTTGAAGCTCCGTCAAATTTTGTCACATTATGGAGAAATTCAGAGAATTTATCTTGTTCCTGAAAGTTAGTTATTCTAACCCTTTTGTAGTATGCAAAAAAATAAATAAAGATCATTCTCGCCGAACCTATTTATAGAGCGTGGCTTTGACTTCTGCACACAGTTACACACTATAGAAATAAATATTCTTAACTTTCCTAACATGTCCTTATTCAATGTTATGTCTTTGTCTGAAGCAACATCAATAAGAAATGAGTCTCTTTCATTTCATAGGGTATACAGAAATACAAATTAAATATGGATTGATAATATATAATGAGTAACATTAAGCACCGCCCTAGGGCGCCTTATAAATAGTACCAGATGGAGCATTATTTAGTGTCTTAGTTATTAGTTGTCTTCAGTGTTTTTCTTATCCAGCTGACATTATCATGCGGCAAATATAGTACAATGTTGTGATAACATGTAGTTCATGTAACTAATGAAAGATGCTTGTCTATAGATCCAGATGCACAAACAAATCGTAAACAGGCAGATGGCTTTCGTGGACAAGAATTTACTGAAGGGTATGCAATTTTTGCTTGAGAATTTTATTCACAGAAATCTATAATAGTTATATGAATTTCTGGCAAAAGCAAAATAAGAACTGTCTACTCTTCATCAAGACTAAAGAGTCTTGTATGACATTGTTGGATATGAAATTTCTAATACTTAATGAATCCACCGCTTTTTGTATTGTTTGTGTACATTTTTTAGGTGGGTCGAATTTACAAAAAAGAGCATCGCCAAAAGGGTTGCTAAAATGTTAAACGGTCAACAGATGGGTACACCATCAAATATTTGTTTTTTGTCTTGCAAGTTTTGTGGGTGTTGTAATGATTTTCACACCTCGCTTTGTTGTTAGGTGGCAGGAAAAGGTCTTCATTCTATTATGATATTTGGAATATCAAGTACTTGAGTAAATTCAAGTGGGATGATCTTACTGAGGAAATAGGTAGGGAGAACTATTGTATTATGTATATGTTTTGCTAGACAACACATATTTACCTGAATGGGCAAAAAAAATTGTTTGCAGCATACAACAATGCTGTTCGGGAGCAGAAGTTAGCATTGGAATTGTCAGCTGCTACAAAGGAACGAGATTTCTTCCTCTCGCAAGCTGATAAATCCCGTGTTATGAGTGCCATTGAGGAAAAACGGTTAAAGAAGGTTCATGTTCTCTCATGTTCCTAATTCTTTACTGCTCCATTAACTTATCGACATTGTTTGTGAATGAATTACTATTACTTACTCCGTATATTATTATTATTATTATTATCGACTTATCGTAATCATGTTTTGCAGAAGCAGAAGGTCACAGAAAAGTCGGTAGAGTCTTCTGACGTTCCAAATAACTTGCATAGGCCAAAATTTATCAGGCATTTCCCACAGAAGGCGGCAGTGGCAGCAGAGGGAGCTAGAGAAAGCAAAAAGACTAGACTGTCTAAGGATACAATAGCTGCAGTAATTTCTCCAAATCTCACTAATCCTTTCATCTCTTCCTCCCTCACTCTAATACTAAATATTCACTTCGTTGTTTTTTAACTGATCATAAACTAAAACATGAACGAAAGTAGGCATGATGTGTGTCTATATTCATTTAACTTCTGATGGATGTATCACAGAAGTAATAATGGTTAGTTATGTGAATGATGGAGTACCCAACTTTTATCTGAATGGTGAATGAACAATTTCATGCTTCAGGTGTTTGGTGGCTCATCGTGATTGCGTTGGAGGATGGTGGCGGTTGTATTGGGTTGCAGCTGCTATCTGTGTTTCAAAGGATTTTTGTTATGTGTGTGATTTAGTTTCTCACCAGGTTGATTTAGAAAAGATGACCTTGGGACATGAGTCTCTATCTATCCACTTGTATTGTGGATTTGTGGGATAGGATTGAAGTCCCAGAGGATTAAATGTTTCTCTTAGAGATTAGATTTTGATGATGTAACTTATGTAGAAATTGGATTTCAATTTTTTTGATATATATTGTGATTCTATTATAGGCTCCCTCCTAGACTATTTGTTCACTTTAATTAATTTAGTCAATCAATTACATTAAATTCGTGTTATACAACCTCCTAAAGTATTTGTGCCCTTTAGTTTTTTTAATTGTGTTATACAGAAACGTAAACTTTGTACTATAAATATTAAAACGGAGTACAATGAAATATGTCTTTGACAGTTTTTCATAGCATATGTCTAATCATATTATTTTGTACTAATATACAACAAAATATTTACTCTCATATAATTGGTGATCGTGATTTGTCCAATTTGACTTGAAAAAATTATTAGACGAAATGACAAATGACAGAGGTAGATGAATTACGTACTCCCTCTTTTTAAACCTTTTTTAAATTATCATTTTTTAAGGAAATAATTTATGAAACAGTTTATTTATTTCATATCTACATAATTCTCTACGGAGTATAACACAATTTTACTCCTTTTGAAATCCATGCAAAAATAAATGAAAACTTCATTTTTGAAATAGGAGTATGAAAAATGAACTCTTGCTTACATCAATGTAGAAACTCCTTTAGTTTTACCCTTTAGTTTCCCGGTTTACCCTTTGGTTTCCCTTTATTACAATAAATTCTTTTTTTTTGAAGGAGAATATTATTAATTCTATTAGGGTGTTAAACAAAATCATCGAAAACTTAAAACTACTCTGCATTTATCCAAGAGTGGTGGGTCTAAAGGAAGAAAACCCCTTCGTCCCAATTAATTTTTCTCTTATCTTTTTAATCATTTAATTATAAATTAATATTAAAATAAAAATTACTCTGTATAAATTATATTGTTCAAAATTATATTAAAAATTCCATAAAATAAGTGATCGTAAGATTATTTTGTTTTATAAAATGATCAATGAAAAGTTACATACAAACATAAGTTTTCAAGAAGTTATAATTATTAATTGAGAAGAATAATTTGAGATAGAGGAGGACAACATAAGGAGTAATTTATTATTTGTAACTTGATAAGTTAAAACGTAGAAACAAGAAGCCCTTATAGCTCAGTGGTAGAGCGCTAGTCTTGTAAACTGGAGGTCTGTAGTTCGATTCTGCATGGGGGCAAATATATATATTTTTTTATCGCATTTTTGGACGCAGTACATTTTAGTTTTCCATTGGTCTTAAAAAAAGCCCAAGAACCCTAATCGAAGAACAATTCATTCTGTCTTTTATTTTTTGTTCACAATCCCCTTCACTTTCGTCTCCCTCAATTAAAAAAAATGGCTTCTTTTCTGGGAAAGGTTCTCAGAAATCGATCTCAACCCGCCACAAGATTCATCACTCTGCTCAACAAGTCTCAGATCCAGATTCCAAGCGCACCTCCGCCTACCACCATTGGCAGTGAAACGGCCCAAAACCCCATCTTCCTCATACCCAAAAGAGAAGATTCAAACACGAACGCCTCCTCCCTCTTCCACCCCGCCTTTTCATTCGACTATTTCTTGAACCCAGTTCCGATTCTCCGATCCGGGTTCATCTTTCAGTCCGAGGATGCCGGCGTTGCTTCGCGACGAGAATCGCCGGAAATATGGGCCGACAGTGTGAAGAAGAAGAGGAAGAAGAAGATGAACAAGCACAAACTGAAGAAGCTGAGGAAGCGGCTCAGGAGGAAGACGTAGTGGTCTTCGTTGCCAGTTTCTTGATCTTGTGAGGACATTTTTGCTTTCTCATCTGTGGGGATGCGTTTCGTTTCTTTATCTGCAATTCCCCATCCTTTGGATTTGTATCGCAGAAAGAAATAAGTGATCTTTGCTTATTTATTATATCCATTCTCATTGCTCCCTTTCACCTTTGCATAACAGGCAGTTGTTTATGTTGAGTTTGAACTTTCAACAGCACATATATGAATTGGTGACATTTTCTTTGGAAAAAAGGATTGCATCAATGTGCATTCGTATAGTTCAGATGCCGAAATTTTGAATTCTCATTGGCTTTTCTCATATATGAGACTCCTTTTTGGGGTGTAGAAACAGGCATAGACAATGATGTTTATTGTTTCCAGTGAAGAATTTAGTATATTTGTTCGAGTTCTCTTTTAAAGGCATGAATTGAGTTAATAGGAGACAAAAATTTAGACACACATGCTCATGCTGGTAAGGTTATAGTATAAATCTTCACTAGATTAGCCTTGAGGCTTACCCAAAATTATAATCTTTGGACAAGAAGAAGCTAATGTGGATAGGAGTAGTGATGTACAAAGCAGATGCATCTAGGTTCTTATTCTTTATTATTGTTATTAGTATATGAACATTAATTTGGCTTCTACTCATTTGATTGGTGGTTTGAGAACATGAATAAGTCAGTCAGTCGGTCCACTACGGGAGTCTAGTCACTGCTGTGGGTTAGGGTTCTTATCATTTGTGAACATGCATCTAGAGGCTCTCTGCAATTAATAACTGATATCTATTTGTATTTTCAATTCATTTTCTTGAGGTTCCAAACTGAAACATAAAAATGTAGTAGTTGGCATTGGCATATGCTTTGACAACAACATATGCTCATTCCAATTTATGCAAACAACTTATCTCAGCAACTAATATCTTTCATTGTGGTGAGCTGCTTGAACGTACACCGAAGAGGTTATTGTTATGAATCAAACCTCTCGTGTAATGCCATCATGGTTCTTATGCCTTAATGATAGGTTGTTTCTTTACCCTAAAACTCTCTCTGCTGCTCTTTTTGTTTACTATTCCATATGATGGATTGTTATGAATTCACTTGTGATCTTCATATTGGCCAGGAGATCCACCCACCTGATATAATAATTAATACTCATTGCGGGAAGAACAACTTATGGTAATTAAAAAAGGAGACATTTTGTGAGCTGTTGATCTTGCTCGATGTGTTACATTTGTACAACTCTCTTCTTTCATTTGAGAGTGAGTTGTGATGCCAAGAATCAGATTCTAAGATGACCAAAAAAAACTCAGAGATTGAGTATGAGTAAATTGCAAGAAACGAACACTGGAATGAATTTCCTTCCCTTCTTTATAATTTGCAAATGCACCATTCAATATTACTCCCGTTATAGGTTTGACCTAAATCCTTAACGCCAAATATCAATTGGACTTGGTTCTGTTCACTGAGTTACGGTGACACTAAATTATCTTTGCTTTTTTGAATGTCAAAATTAATGTCTTCTATCGCCATGAGACTCTCAAACCCTCCAGACACCCCTTCCTTCCATGCTGATTAGCTACTCGGGACAGGACGGCTAGGAAGAGTATGAATTATTAATTTTACGAACAGAGTATTATAGTGGTTCAATTGGAACCGGCTTCATCCGATAACATTGAAATCCAATGTTACCTAAACCTATACGATATAAAGTTCTTTTCCACAGTAATTTGAAACAAAAAAAGAAAAGAAAATTGTATGAAATTTTTTTTTTTGTTTGGTTAGCAAGAGAAAGAACATTAAAATCTTATTGGAGGATTGCTGACGCACCACCTACTATACTACGGAGCAATTAAAAAATACGATAAAAACCCACCGAAAAAGAAAAAAGAATTACTAAAACAAGACGTGCGAATATATGCTAGTCTGTGCCTAACGTGACGGGAGGGGAGGGAGGCTTTCACTCTTCAATCCGCGGTTAATTTTATTTACTGCCTGCACTGCACTACTTACATCACATAACTGCGTTGGTTTAATCATCATGAATGAATGAAAATTCACAGTTCCCAATTCCCATCCCCTTAATCTTTCATAATCCGGCAAAACTCTCCTTCCGCAGATAGATTCAATCTCAGAGAAGAAGAAAGAAGAAGAAGAAGAAGAAGGGGACCCACTGTCCGCGCAGAAGAGGGGTTGAACCCAGAAAGGCTCAACACACTTCCTGAACTCAGATGTGAGAGTTGGGTCTGAATCTTCATTAGAGTATGGAACCCCCAAGGGGCTTTCTCGCATCCCTCTGCAACTTCATACGCTTTCTCCCTTACTTCATTGCCCTTCTCATTCTTGGCTTTCTTAAAGGTCACTCCTTTTCACTCTTCTTCCCCATTCCGCTATTCATTCCAATCTGATTTATGCCCATTTCCATATTTATTGCAAGTTTCCTTTTTTTTTTCCAATTTTATGCTGGGTAACCTTTTCTTGAGTTGTTCTTTTTCTTTTATACGGAGTACTTTTTTACCAAGAGACTTGCTTAAATTGCTAATATTCTCTTTTTACATGTTAAGGGTGGTCCAAACCCAAACATTATTGCTATGATAGTAATAAATTGTGTTTTTTATGTATGTATAGATGCCCAACGTGGCTGAGTTTTTTTTCCTTTTCTGGTGTGCCTATATGGTATAAACAATCTAAAGTAATAGCATTATGGCACAAGACCACATTTCACATGTGACGCCATTCATTAGAAACAATTACTTACAATATATTGTACGCACCAAGGTAGTATTTAGGGTACATTCTTTTAAGTCTGATAAAAATTTCTTGCTTATAGATTCTTAACACTTCTTTCTGAGAAAATAAAACAATTTTGAGTCTTTTTTATGATGGTGGAAAAATTAAGCAACTCCCTCCCTTGTTTTCCACATTTTTGAGTCTTTTTTATGATGGTGGAAAAATTAAGCAACTCCCTCCCTTGTTTTCCAGGTTCAATTCTGTGTCCGATTATACTTCTTATTATTACCATTGGAAACTCTGCTGTGGTTTTAGGGCTTTGGCCGGTACACCTGTTCTACACATATTACTCCATCTTAAGGTGCGCTCTTTAACAAAATTGCACTTCCAGATTGCCTCACTCTACTTTGGTTTTACTAAGTTTTTTCTTCTTCTTCTTTAAACTTTCCAATAATCACCTGCAGCACAAAACAACTAGGTCCGGTCTTGAAAGCGGTTATCTGCATATGTCTTCCAGTTGTTTTATCGTTGTGGTTAGTGATTGCAATTGTGAGCAGCATTATTGGTGGGGCAGCATATGGTTTCTTCTCACCCATGCTTGCCACTTCCCGAGCTGTTGAACCTGGGAAGGATAACAAGTTTTATCACTGCATATGTGTATGCTTCTCAAACTTCTTTGCTGAATATGTCTTCCAAATGGTTATTCTCGTTTTTTCTTTTACCAGTTTCATGGATGTAAATTCCATTGTTTTTTTAGGATGGTACTTGGGATACAGTCAAACGGAGCTTTACCATTGTTAGGGATGTTGGAGATGTTTCTTACCATTCTTACTTTTCATTTATGGATGATCTACGGCTTCAAGGGGCAGGAAAATATTATGAATTTAGGTATCTCTTTTCTCTTCTTTGAAAAAACATTTTTGGGATGTTCAAAGAAGGATTTGAATATCTGCACCTTGTTTTTCTGCAGGCTGCTTTATCTTCCTGGAACATTAATTGGTGGCTTGCTTGGAATTATTGTAGATATGCCAATGATCACCATGATAGCTGCTTATAAAACCCCTTATATGCTATTTAGAGGATGGCACCGTTTGTTTCATGATTGTATAGGACGGGAGGGCCCTTTCTTGGAGACAATCTGTGTGCCTTTTGCTGGGATTGCCATCCTGCTTTGGCCGTTGGCGGTTGCTGGTGCATTGTTAGGTTCCATGGTATCTAGTATCTTCCTCGGTGCATATGCAGGAGCTGTTGTCTACCAGGTTGGTTTGGCTCTTGTGGTACTCAAATGTCAAAACTGGCGTGTTAGTATTTTTTTTCTGAGAGGTGTGTGAGAGGTTGTAACTCCTTTCAACTACATATACAGGAGAGCTCTTTCTGGTTGGGGCTCTGCTACATTGTCGCATCTTTATCCATATATGATGAGTATAGCAATGATGTTCTTGACTTACCTGAAGGATCATGCTTCCCTAGGTTCTGGATTTCTGACAATTACAGTCATTTTCAACATGATAGACTATTTCTTGTTATACAAATATATATTGTTACACTTCTTTTTCTAATTCATACCCGAGTTAACAGTTGAAGTTCTGAAATCTGAGATCCATCCGTACAGGCCCCAATACCGAACGAAGAACTACTCAAGAACCAGCTCCCGTACAGCGTCTTTCTCAAGGCCGACCTCTTTCAGGAATTCATTTTCTTCTCACAACACACCTATGGTTGAGTTGAAACACATTGAGGTAGATTTTTTAAAAAAATGTACTTTCCCACATTAACCTTATTTATTGTTTTTTAGTAAGGCAATAAAGACTCTGCCCTTTTTGTATGTACTCTTGTAGTTTGCCAACGGGTTTTTCAAAGAGTGTCAACGTTACGGGGAAATATTAGTATCTGAAGGAGTGTTGACTCAAAAAGATATTGAAGATGCCAAGTCTAATAAGGACATCGGGCGAATCTTAAGCATAGGTCTACCTGCTTTTGGTGTGCTTCAGATACTCTTACGTTCTGCCAAAGCCAACTCCTCTGGTTTGTTGTTAAGTAAGTTAAATTTATTTTATGTAGCTCTCTGTCTCAATTGGTTTGCCTCATAATCAAATCGCCGACTGTGTGCCAAATGAATATTGCAGAAGATGATAATAATAATAGTACTACTGAAATAAGTAGCACAAACAGGCCAAAAGATGCTTTTTATGATTGGTTTCTCAATCCGCTTCTGATCATGAAAGACCAGATCAAGGCTGATAACCTTTCTGAATCCGAAGAGGAATACCTCGGCAAATTGGTCCTGTTGTATGGGGATTCTGAGAGGTTGAATAGATCGAACATTGATGTGCTGAAACCTGCATCTGAGCTAAGGCGGGCTGAACTTGATGCACTAGCTCGAAGGTGATGCTTCTTGTATGCTTAGATTTCTAAATAAATAACGATTTTCAGTAGCTGTTTTGATATCCCCATTTTTGTTTTTGTTATGTCATTAAAGACTTCATGGGATAACGAAATCCATATCGAGATTCCCAACATATAGGCGGCGCTTTGACAGCAGCATGAAGGCAATATTAAATGAACTGGCTGCAAAGAAGGATGGTGACAGCAGAACATGTGGAGCAGAAGCTTCAAGTATCCCCAGGTCAAGAAGCATGTTTGCTCGGATTTTTAGCCAGAAATCTTTGGATGGCAGCAAAAATGGATCTGACCCCGAGGCTCAGACAGTTTCTTTGGGGAAGAGCTGAAATCCAGCATTAGTAACTGAGTAAATCGATTGTCTATATGGTTTTGATTATAGCTCCTAGTGATCTTGAGGGGCTTAAAATTTCACCCTCATTGTGTAAAGTTTGTTCTTTGTCATTCAGAATTTGCATTTCCAATGAAAAACAAAAGAGAGAGTTATGTCCGGGGTTATGATTGTTTATCTGTTTTTCTTATAATTGTCCTTGTTGTGATTTAACTTAAAGTGTGTGACATACAGAATACGGGCGAATTCGAATGCCCTTTTTCACATGGAATGAATGAATGATTTATATGATATTGATGTTATTATTTGTGATCACATGTTTGATTTGCAATAGTTTTATAAACATTGATCGATAGCACACTCGATGCCTCTGTCTATATATAAATGTGGTTATTGTTGAGGTTTGATGAGCTAAGTTGAACCAACCAACCAAGCAGCTAATCTAATCCAGAAAACAGATCTATCAAGAATGAAGATGTGCTGCAGGTTGGTAGCAGCAAGTAGTAGTAGTGTGATTCTGCTCTGGATTTTGTTGTCACAGGGAAACGATGTCCAAGCAACCGCACGCCCCCTTACAGATCCTAAACGTTTGGAGCAATCCGCTGCAGAGTACATCACCGTAACAGGTCAGCTGCTTCCCATTCCCTAACCACATGAACGCGGAGATGACTTCTTTTTTTGCGTGTTTGGATTTGATTGTGTGTATTTGTATGTTTGTGTGTTGTTAGGGTGCAACAATGACTGCGACATAGCTTGCTGCTATTGTGACATCCGGAAGCGCCCGCCCCTCTGCGTGCAATGCTGCAAAGAATGGCACTGACTCTAGCTACCGATGTTGCTAATGTACATTCATCATTGAAACAAATCCTTCCCCCCTCTCTCTCTCTTTTAACGACATTAATGTAATGAGTTTTTCTTAACATTATTATGAAACTGCCCCGTCTAAGATTGGACTGTGTTAATGAAGTTGAGTGGATATTGGAATGATTTTTTCTTTGTTCACCCCAACATTGCGGCCAACTTGGTCCGATATTTGAATGACGTTATTTTTAACTTATATGGGTTATTTAAAAAGTCCAATGTGATTTTGTGTTAAATTTAAGTTGAAGAATGAGAACTAATGCAAAAAAAAAAACGTGGGAAATGAATCCAAAATCCGTGTAATGCAAGTAAACGTGGGCAGCACAACAACTTGGGCGACACCCTCCCCTCCCCTCCCCGGCTCCCTTTTACAGTATAAATATTGATTCAATCCACAGTGAAATGGCCATTCCATTCATTGATTGATTCAATCATTCATCCGGAGCGAGTTGTGAGGAGAATGAAGAGAGAGGGTCGCCAACACGGTCTGGTCCGAACCTGCCCCGTCATCGTCCTCCCCCCCTCCGATTCCCTTTTGAACCACCCAAGGCCGCCGCCGCGCCCTAAACACATTTACTCCTCCTGCACCGCCGGCCCCTTCGCCAGGGTCTCCTCCAAGCCTACCAACCACTCCAAGTTCACAGGAAAGTGCGGCCGTGCCCAATGTCCCGACTGTCAAAAGGTCGGATCTGCCGCCGGCAAAGCAAAAGGCAATAAGAAGGCGGCGGCCGCCAAGGGGACGCTGAAACAGAGGACCGCAGATGCTGCTGCTGACAATAAATCGATCGCGTGGCGGGTGGATGCTGCTCCTAGTAATAATTACAGGTCCCGTCACGACGACGTTCCTGGTCTCTCGGCCACCGGAATATTGGGCTATCTGGCTGGCCTCGACTACACCGACGATCTTGATGATGAAGAATAACTAACTCGTTGAATTGGGGCCGTGAAGAAGAAGAAGAAGATGATGATGAACTTGGCCGGCCAGAGATGAAGACGAAGATGAAGAAGATGTGAGCGTGGTTTCAATTACACATCAATTCGTATTTGCTACACCATTAGTATATGTAATCAATCATGATGATGTTTGTGTTCGATGATAAACCTTAAAATCTCCCTAATAAATATAATAATGTTGTTTTCTTTAATACTCCGTATTAGTTTTTACATTTTGTCCCCTTGATCCTTATATTTAACCCTGGATGGAAAGCAACAATTAATCCAGACAAAAAAATATAAGACTAGTATGATCCGGTTAATTAGCAAACAAGTTTATATTCTACTTTCATTAGCATATATAATTCTTGTGCTCTTCATGTTTATTAGTATCACAATTCTTGTGAACTCCAGACTTCACTCCCGAATATATCATTCTTGAGTCCTTACTATTGTACATCCCTTGAAAACGCTTTGATTTGACCCTCATACTCGTAACGAAAGACTAGAGATGGCTCCGGTCGATCTAGGTCCATCATCTTAGATATTTCGTTCGAGAGGCACATTACAGCTTGGGGCTGATAGAGAATGCACATATGGAAGATGCAATGGGAGTATGTGAGGCATTAAGTTGGCCCAAGAAAGAATTTATGCGACAGAAGATCACTATTGAGATGGATAATCAGACACTTTTTATTGTCTTACAAGCGAGGGAGGACAATATCTTACATTTTTTAGGGGACGCTGTCTATGAGTGTAAGAAATTGACGTTAGAGTTTTCTTATCCCTTTGTCGGTTGTTAGTAGATCTGTAAATCAAAATATTCACTTGTTGGTTGAGCATTTGACTCAATGTCTTGTTTTTCTAGAGTGGGCGCTTACCCTTCCAACTTACATTTGTGAAGATTTGGACTTTGATATGATTGAATTAGTGCAAGTACTTTATTTTTTAAAACCCAAGAGTCATGTTAGGGTAATCCAATAATTTAAATACTATCATTGACCTCATTCTTTGCATAGTCATGCATAAAATATAACGTTTAAACCGTACTGACAGTCGTACTGATAGTCATAGCTTGTACATCTCTAGGCGAAACATGAGACTACCATACCAACCCAAAATGTTGGGGTTAGTCTAGCTTTATTTATAATTAGGGCTATTCAAGTTTAGATCCAAACCGAAAAACCTACTGAACTGGACCTTTAGGTTCAAACCAAACTAAAATTTAAGTCATTTTTCTAAATAGCACTTAAATTTTTTATTTCCTAAATAGCACATAATAATGTGCAGAAGGAGGAATAATGTCCAGTGATGACAAACATTTACTTGAATAATGATTAATGCATAATGACTAAAAGTACTACATTAGAAAAAAAACACATATTATTATGTTTTAGTGTTATTTAAGTAATTTCAAATGAAGACCCTTGTTCAATACCCAAATTCGTGGAATTCAAGCAAACGTGGGCAGCACAACAACTTGGCCAACACGCACGCAGCACCCTCACCCCCACCCCGCCTTGCATCCCATCTTCTTCCTCTTCCTTCTTCTTCTTCCAGTAGTTGACTTTCTCTGTGTATTTATTGATTCAATCCACCCATGGCCGATGGAGCAAATTATAGTGAGTGATCTCTCTAACAAAACAATACAATGAAGCGAGAGGGTCGCCAACACGGCCTGGTCCCAACCTGCCCCGTCCTCCACCCAAGGCCGCCGCAGCCAAAACACATCTACTCCTCCTGCACCGCCGGTCCCTTCGCCAGGGTCTCCCCCAAGCCCACCAACCACTCCAAGTTCACCGGAAAGTGCGCCCGTGCAAAATGTCTCGAGTGCCACGTCACCTCCGCCGGCAAAGCAAAGGGCAAGGCCAAGGGTACGCTGAAGCAGAGATCCGCCGACGCCGTTGCTGACAATAAATCCATTGCGTGGCGGGTTGGCAATCACCACCATTACAAACCCTGCCACGACGTTCCTGGGTTCTCCGCCACCGGAATACTGGACCATCTGGCTGGAGTTGACTACACCGATCATCTCGAGGCTGCAGATGACGACGATGAATATCTATGACGACCCTGGTTCCCGGCTTTTTTACTTCCCAATTGGGGAAAGAAGAGCAAGAAGATGATGAAACCGGCCGGAAACGAGAATAATGTGTGGTTGGACAGATTAAATTAAAACCAAGTTCCCCATTAACAACAACATGCGCAATGAGCTGAATGCGATCTGGGTAATGGATGACAGTGCGGGGCAATCCGGAATTACTAGACATCCATGCTATTTCTATTACTATTACCAACTACACAAACAATATTACAGAGTAGAAATCATGATGATGATAATGATGATGCTATTAAGAATAAGAATAAGAAAAAGAAATGTTGTTTTTTTCTATCAGTTTTTACACGTCTCCTTGATTCTAAATTTGTAATAACCCTGGATGGATGGCAATTGTCAAGCAACAATTAATCCGGCGCAACAAGTTAGCATTTTTCTACACTACATTCATCAGCATAGTTCTTGTGTTCTTAGTTTTTTTCCTTAAAGGCCGTGTTCTGAGGAGGTATCATCATGATTCTTGTGAACTCCGGACTTTCCTTGCATGGGGGGGGGGGGGC